ACTTTTGTGTGCTCTGAAATTAGGACACTTTCTCAAACAAAGGCTGTACAACCAAGTACTAACAGGACTCTTGGGTATGCCTCAGAAGCTAGAGCTAGAATTCTTCAAAGCCTGCCCAAAGAGAATGTTTCTCAACATCTTTCTATAAAGAATTCTTGAAAAAAAAAAAAATTATAAAAACAAATGAACAACCAAATCTATCGCTTGTCCTGTGCAACATCAGCATCATGATATTCAAGTTTAAACAAGTCAAAATAAATTTTCTGTACCAGTTAATGATTATTTTCACCCTTCTAGTTTACTTGCTTGCTTGCACACATGGAAATGTACGTATGCAATTGTATTTGTACATTTGCAAATATCTGGCTGTTTTTCCATGTTGCACAAAAACACAGCCACAGCCAAAAGACTCTGAAGCCTGACTGCTGTTATGCTGAGAGGCAGCTGTGAAGCACAGACCTGGAAGTCCAGCAGTTCTACTGCTGTAGGACCTCATGCAGACCTCTTTTTTTGCCCTTGTAAAGGGAGCAAGGAGAGGTGAAGGCAGTTGTTGTTTCTTCTGTCAAATCAGAGGGATTGCTGAATCCTACCACCATATACTTGTTAGTGTTGCTTAGTTTCTTGCTGTTCAGAAATCCTGACAGGAAGGCTGGGATCTGGTGGAGAGCAGAAAAAAGTTTTGCTGGGTTGCTGTAATCATTCGCTTACCCCCATCCACTTATTCTTGCACAGGGAATCACAGAATCGTAGAACAGCTTGGGTTGGTATGGCCCTTCAAGATCATACAGTTCCAACCTCCCTGCCACAGGTTGGGTTGCCATTCACTAGGACCAGGCTGCCCAGGGCCCCATCAAGCCTAACCTTGAACCCCACCAGGGATAGGACATCCACAGCTTCTCTGGGCACCATGTGCCTCACCACCCTCTGAGTAAAGAATTTCCACCTAACATCTAACATAAATACACCATCTTATAGTTTAAAAACTAAAAAAAAAGAGCAGGGAATTTAAGGAAGTCCAAGATAGCGGTGGACAGTGAAGATGGAGCATTAAAGAAGGTCAAAAATAGCAAAGATTTAATTGCCTTTACGTGTTTTTAAGTACAATACAGTATAAATATAAATTATAAGTAAAATGATTTTAGCATATACCTAATTTCACAGCAGGGTGTGTCCAAATAGCTCAGTATCTTGGTGGGAAATTCTCTAGAGACTGGAGGGGAGGCAGTATTGTGGTTCCCACTGCACAGCTCAGTGAAAACTGCACTCTCCCATCCTGTCTTTGCCTCTTGCCCTCCACAGTTCTGTGGATACAGATCTCTAATTTAAAAGGAGGATATTTAATTATAACTGGATATTTTAAGTTCAGTATAGTTGAAGGAGAGGAGAAGGAAACATTTTAAAAGATAAAACAATGCCCTGGTTTTTTGGGTTTTGTTTTGTTTCGTTTTTTATATATGGGAATTCTACTGCTTTGCTCTTATTTACTCTTACTCTAATTTAAAGTGACATCTGTGTCTAAAATAAGCAAGCAAAAAAGAATCTGCATGTACTACCAAACACTGAAAAAACAGATGAGATGTTCATTAATAAGACCTTTTTACAGTGCTGTCACAGATGTGGTAGCTGCCTGGGACTCAAGAGACTCCATTTTATTTGTATCTACACATACCTCTCTTTTGCCAGTGGAAGATGTGGAAAAGGAAGTTGTAATACTGGCCTATTTTTTGAATTGCCTGGAAGCCATTGGATGAAAAGCAGGTAAGAGAAGAAATATCATTCAAGAAAGGCCCAGGATTTTTCTTGTTTCCTTCTCTTTCACACCACTCTCACTATTAATATGAGGTTAATAAAGAGGATTATTCACTATAAATCCCAAGTTACAGGAATAAATCAACAGCTGCAAGGCATATGATAAAACCACATCCCCTCAAGCATTACCCTTGAGACACATGAGTGTTTCTGGCCAGAGGTCCATTGCACGCAACCCATTGCTCACCATTCCCAAGTGTGCTGAGCTGCCTTCAGACCACTACAGGCAGTAAATACTGACAGAGTTTGCAGAGAGCATCCTGGCAGAACTTCCAGACTTGCACACAGGAAATACATTTGAAACTGAGGCTGATAGAGAAAAACGCTGTAGTCTGTGGTGTGCTATGGGTTAGGATTGGTGATGATGGATGTAGAATGTGTGGGATGGGAAGGACACAAACAAATGCTCTCCGTGGAAAGCTCTCACACTCAGTGTCAAAGTGAAGTGCACTTGAGTCTGTACTGCCCCACTCCACCAATCCCAAAATATCTGACCTTCAAAAAACTTGCAAAAGGGATGGGGATTTCCTTTCAGCAGAGTCTGAATTTCATCATTTTGATTTCAGAATCTGTCACTAGAATTGCTATTAACAGGAAATATTTGTAGTATAGTATGGACAACAAGTAGGAATTACCCAGAAAAGTTCACCACCTTTTTCTTTTCTTTTTCTTTTCTAGTGAAATCATTTTGAGCACTTGGCTGTATAAAACTTTCCTTGATCATTTCAATAGCATTCCACAAAAAACATTACTCTTTCAAAATCTGCAGAACTGTTTGCAGGTTTGGATACTGGTTAATGAGTAGTACGACTTAACCTCGATTTTTTAACTTTCGAAGCGGCAGAAACATGTGGCTTTCAGGAGTTACACACTGGAATTGTTACAGACTATTTCACAAGTCTTGTTATATAGTTGCTAATACAGAATCATAAAACTATATTAAGAACTTATTTGGATAGTGTTATTATACTTTCCCTTTCCCTCACCTCTCCTATAAATCCATCAGAAGCAGGGACATCAGTGTTATGAGGCAAGGAGGATTATTTATCACCTTCATTCTTTCAACAAGCTCTGGACATCATATTTTTTCTAATAAAATGAAAATAAAAATATATATAAGTCCCAAGACAGAGAATGATGGAAATAGTGCAGAAGCCCAAAGATATGTAATTAAAGGGTGATATCTGCAGAATGCTGCACCAGGTAAGATGGGAAGGACTTAAGATCTCAGGATTTAAACCTACATTTTATTAAGAATTAATTTGCTTTAATCACATTCTAAGCAACTGCATGGCTATTTCTGTGCAGATGACAGGCCTTCTCAGCCTATCTACAAAATGTTTCTTGTATTAAAAGAGTGAAAGTAGGCAGCTCTCAGTTTTCAAAGAAATTTACTAAATTGTGGGTTGACAGTTTTAGATACAGTATTAAATAGTAACATTACTGGAAAAGCTGCTTTTTTGAAAATTGAGAAAATTCCTATATTTCAGGGATTTTGGGGAAAAAGTCATACAGGGCTAACTTCTGAGCTTAAAGAGGTTGAATTCTTGGCTACCTGGTTCCACCAGTAACAGCTGGTACATCTCTGCAGTGAAAGCTCCTTCATCTGATCTGTACATAAAGCTAACAAATATCAACTTCTGGGCTAGCTGTCTAGACTACTGTCAGTAACAGCAGGAAGAAACTGGCATTCCTAACGGGCAATTCATCTAATATAGACTTCTACTTTAGGAGGAGAAGAATCATCCCATAAAGCTGCTAACCTCTCAGCAAGGCTAACCTGGACAAGGAACTCAGAGCTAAGGTACCTCCAATTAGAGGAGATGAATTCTACCATAAACTTCTGCTTCCAACATCCCTTTAGTACAGGCAGCTCATGATAAATTCTTCTTAAAGAGGGCGTTTGCAGCAGGCAAGAAGTCCAATGTACAGTGTTTATGTACTGATATTACTCTTGAAGAGACAGAAAATTACACAGGCCAAAGATGAGCTGAGTTCATTAGATACTTCTCCATACCGTGCTATTCCTAACAAACATCTCAAAAAACTTTCCAGGTCTTCTGGGACTACAGGCTTCATCATAGGCTGAAATAGCTGTTAAATAAAGATAGGAGGCATCTGTGATTCTAACTAAATATATGTTTTGGCTCAGATGCACCAGACAAAGTTCTGGGATGTCGAAAAGCAGCACGTCATTGCCTTCTGAATCTGGCAGGTATCACTCTTGGAAGAAAGTACAAGAAAAACGGAGAGCCTGCTGCCTTTGACAGGCGGAGGTTCAAAGGTGCTTCAGAGCTGCCTCTTGGGTTCAGCTCACAGGAGGTGACAGACAGCAAAGAGCAGCCTGGAGATGAGAAAGGCCTCCCTTGGGGACAGCCTTCTGAGAGAGCCTTATCAGCCCAGAGCATGGCTCTCCTCTATCCCGTCAGCCCACAGACTACTTGTCAGTCCCACTGCTTATTATTCCACAGAACTTTCTTGCCAAAAATAACCATGAAAGGGTCAGAAGCTAAGCCAAAGGTCAATCTATGCATGGATAACATTTACTTGTTCACAAAGTTTTCAAAAACACGCACATTACCAGCAGGATTCCAAAAGCAGAACTTCAGTATATGGAAAAGAAAATCCACTTTTTCAAATAAAAAATAAACACAAGATATTCCATTGCTTAATTTAACTAACCAGCATTTCAGATTCTTCCCTTTGCATTTCATAAATGTGTAGGTTAAATTTAGAATAAGGGTGAGAGACAAACCAGGCTGGAGAAAAGGGAGATACTGCATCTCAGCCTCAACTTTGCCTCATATGGCTTCAGCCAGCAGGGATCAGCCAGCGCGTTCATTGTGAGCAACCATGGGATAGAGTAGGCAGCACTGAATTTTCTATCCCTGCAGTTCTCTGCACAGTAATGAGGGAGCTTAAGCTGCTCTAGGAAGTTCTCATAGAGTGATGGCATTTCCTTAATCTCTCCCCAGTAAAGCCATGCCTGTGAATACAACTGAAGACCCTGGATCTTCCTAAAACTCATCTAAGGTACAAGGGATGAGTATAGTATAAGTCCTCTGTTGTAGCTTTCGTTATTGCAACACACTCTTCCAGCAGAAAAAAAGCAACAGAGGAAACACTAAAGCTGCTGATTTTGAAACAGTCTGAATGGAAGAGAACATTTTTTTCAAGCATTGCATTTGGTTTCTACCAGAATGGTTATTTTATAGATGGATGCACTTACTGAACCAGACCACCAAAGAGCTTGTGATAGATGGCAGAAGAAAAGCCAAAAGCCAAAGCTGTAATTTCTCTGTGCTGAGCATAGATCTCCATACAGCAGAGGTAGCACGTTTCTGAAGAACAGAGATTTCCCGAATGGGCTGCAGAGCTCCCGCTGGTTGCTGCTGTGGTCGCACTCCAAGGAGCTGCAAATGGAGAGCTAAACTATGAAGACCAAGAAGATGGGAGTTTCCACATCTTTGTACAACAAAGGACCTAGTTTAATTACATTTTATTCCATCTCACTGCTTGGAAGATGAAATTAATATTTCTGATAACACATCTTCGAGTGGTGATGCTCCTTACCCAATGGAGTATAGAGCACTGTCCATCACAAAATTACAGAAAAGAAAAGCTTGAGATGTGAACCTCAGTTCAGAATATTACTTTTATTTCAGCAGAAAAAAAATAAATAAATAAAGCAGAAAAAAAGACAGTGATAGTTTAAAAACCACTGTATCTATTTATGATGTTCATCCTATTGTGGATGGGACTCCAGCCAAATCATTATTCATAGCAACTCTTGTTGACGCAGAGAAGTAACATCAGCAAAGTACAGTGCCATACTCCAAATGACACTTCAGTTTTATGAGCTATGTCCCTGTCCATTTCGAAGTCCTTTAACAATTTTTAAATACTTAACCAGCAAATGTCCCTGAAAATTGCTAGGAAATATTTGCAGATGTGGACAATGTATTTATCTATGCTTAAAAGCCATCATAAGCAATCAGATCAATTGGTAATTTTTAATAATTACATTTAATGAAGAAACAGAGTTATTGTAGAGCATGACAGTTTTAACAACATAGATTAAGAAAAATGCAATATCTAAGAAGTAGTTCTGCAAATAATTTTGTCATTAAATCACTTGTCAGAAGCAATGAAAGATAAAAAATTTCCTTCCTTAATTGTCACATATTACCATAATCAACTTTAAAGTGCTTCTGTTTTGTTTAATATAATATTTTGAATTAAATGGGCATGCACACATGCACACTACTAATTCCAACATGAAAATTATTTCTGGCCTTTCTCTGTATGCAAATTAATACATAATTTCTGTGGAAACATTTGAAGCATCTGAAGAATAGCAGGACATATTTTACTTTCATCCAAAACATTTTATAACAGTCATATGTAAATGCTCAAAATCACTCCAAAAGTAGGAGGGGGAAATTCTTCCAGTAGCTGTATAGTGATGGATGAAAAAATTCTGTGCTAAAGAGAAAAGGAAATATTTCTAGTATGAACTAAGGCATCTGAGGACAAGGGCAGGAGAGAGCAGTGGGCTGTTTGTTGTTGCACATTTCCTAGAAGTCAGAATCTATAAACAAGTAATATCTACTTATAACTATTAACACAGAAAGTGCAAAGTTGGAAAGAGCGGAAGAACTCTTTGGTATTCAGATACAGTTCAGAAACAGTTCATCTGATATTTGGTAAATACAAGCAATTGTGAATACTATGCTGAGAACAAATACAGGAGTGCCATCACTAGAGAATAACTACTCTGTACATTTCTGGTTCAACTTTGCCATCCCCAGTATCACCAGCTCGTCCCAGCTCATAGCAGGACTAGCCTCAACATTAGACCTGGCTTCAAGGTGAGGACACGTTCAGGGCCATGCCTGCTCAGGGTGTGAATGTTTCCAAGGATGTAGATTCCCCTCTCTCACAAGGCAAACAGTTCTAATGTAAACTACAATTATCTGGAGTTGCAAGTGTGTGCACAGCTCAATAATAGAGAAAATGCCATGCTTTTGTAGGAGTGGAACAGTGCTGTAGTTGTAACTACAGACAGGGAGAAGCTCAGGTACTGGGACATCCTGGCAAGCAGCTGTAGGAAGCTGAACTGACAGCTGTGCCTTACCTTGGCAATCAGTGTCTCAAGGTTTATCCAGTCTTTCCAAACCATGCTGCATGTTCCAGATGTGTCTTCTGCTAGGAGACCTGGAAAAAGTAGGTATCTATCAGATGACCCAAGTTAACTCAATGGGCAGAAATCTTCTTTCAATTAATGTAATACTGATTTAGCAATAAATCATATATCAGTAATACTGATTTAGCAATCAATTAATACTGAATTAGCAAACTGCTTAACAGAAGAAATTCCAAATAAAGCTTATTCAGTTTGAGCATACAAGTTATTTCACATTATACAGAATACTGTTGTTAAACAAACGGGCAGTTCTCTGCAGTACCTCTAAACTGGCAGGTACTTCCAGCTATAGAACTAGTTATTTTATAACCCCCTGAGCTGAAAACCAGCAAGGTTAATCTGAAGAGCAAATGGGAAGATTTATGAAGACAAGCCAAATAAAAACCTTCCTTAGAAGAGTAGAAAAAGAAATACAACAAGAGACAAGATTATTTCAACTCCAGTTATATTTTTTACTTCATTAAACAATAGAGATGTGGAGTAAATAATGTATAAATTAATTACGTTTATGTTGGAAAATTATTTAGAATATTGCTTTCAAATGGGCCTATAGATAAGGGGAAAGCTTATCTGATTGAGATAGCAGAGATAAAAGCACTAGAATCATTCATGAATACCATTACATTTAATTAAATTAAGACTGTGAACAAATATGCCAGGAAGAATGCAAAGATTCTGACTTCTGTCCCAGTTATTTTCTTAGGGGCTTTCCTCTAAGGCACTATTTGTGCATCTCTTCAAATGGCTGGACTTTTCCAAAGTAAAGTTTTCTGGTGACTCTGTCCCCTAATCTTTGCTATAAAAGAAATAATAAGCTCATGAACAACCAATAAAAGTGATAAAGTGGCAGCGTTTGTTTTTGTGCTTGATTTTAGAGGGTTACAGAAAATATTTAACCTTGAGAGAGGCGGTGGGAGGATGGAGGAGGATGAGATTTTTCTGCTTTATAATAAAACAATTTATAGTTCCTCCCTGTTCCACTGTCAATCACCTTTTATTCCTCCATTTAAGGGTTACATGTCACTAGTTGAGAAACATCTCCAGTGTAATTTTGTTAATATGTAAACCTCCTATGGGTACATATTGCTTCAGAAATGTTAAAAATAGGAAAAACTGTTCAGATCATACACTCAAATGCCAGTCCAGCCAAGGTCATTACAATCTATCCAGCAACTCCTGGACAGAGCTCAATAGAACTGGTGCTGCATTTAAGGCTAAGACTGTACTATAGGCAGACATCACTGTGTAATTAATCGCCTTTTGAGACGAAGAAAACACCATGTCTCTCAGAAGCTGTTTCAGGGTCTCGTTACTCTCAGCAATAACATTATCTGCATTTCTTCACTTCTTGATCTTTTGTTTATTATGCAATTGAGGGAGGGGGAGAAACATTTTATTTGAGCCAATGGTTACACAAATCATTCCGAAATCATTGGCAAAATTCTATCTACATTTTCTGCACACTGCAGAGTGTGAATCATAGAAGCCTCCTATTAGCTTTTACTTTCAAGATAACACCTACCATCTGACAGAGTGATCCAATACGTGGTGAGGAAGAATGCTTAGTTTTAAAAATATTTTTAAATAATATGTGAGCTGATAAAATTCTCATGTTACTGTAGAGAAAGGTGCAAGAAATCTTAAAATCAACAACTATATTCTTCCCAAGACATAATTTATATAATGAAGCATGAGGACTAGGTGCTTTCTCAAACTTGCATTAATTTGTTTTAGTATGATGCTATCATTATTCATATCAACTTTATTAATAAGTCAAAACTTTGGGTGTGGTATCTGATAGCACTAAAGTTCTGAGACAGCTGTATGGGCTATGGGGAATAAAACAACCCATCAACTCCAAACTTTTTCCATTAGATAACCAGAACAGTATGTGCACATTATGCTTGCTTTGTCAAAAACCATAACACAACGATCTTGTTTTCAATTCAGTGCTGATCCAGATGGGAGCACATAGTAAAGGAGCATATGGAAAACTTTTTATGTTTCCTTTCATGAGTATTTAACTGAATGCTGAAATCCCAGAGATAATGATGCAAACATCATCAGATATCCTGAAATTCTTCACATGCAGTTGTTATTTTATTATCTCAAAAATATAGCAGTACCCTTCACAGGCTCTCCTAATCCATATTCAGTGAACTTCTGTTTAAATTAAGAAAAGTTAATATTACCTAATGTTCAGATTTATCTTGAATATAACTCTTGAATGAACAACCTATGAAGCTATCTATCAAAGATATGTCAGAAAGACACTTGGAATCTCTGCCTTTCAGCAACCGCACACCCTTATTTCTCCTACCTCATGCCTCACAATGCATTCTGTGTGACACCTTCCAAAAAACAAAGCCAGTCTGTGACACAAAAAAGATCTCTTCCACCCTGGGGGATTGCAGGAGATAGAAGAGGTGAAGCTTCTCTCTGAAATATTTTTTATTACAAATGGCCATAATGAGGTAACAGGGGTTTCTTTGGGATGTGTGCAAATTGATAAGGACCACACTAAATATTTCATAATGTTTAATTTACAAGGCATTTTCATGGAAAGTGATCATAGTTAAGCATTTTCCCCTGCAATTTTGTCAACAGTTCAGGGTACAACCAGATTAAGTTGATGTGTAATTCAGTTCATGCTCACACAGCAACTTTTTGCCTTCAAAATGTGTTCTCTCTCTCATTGATTGTTTTAGGGCAGTGCTCTGGAACATTCTCTCATTGTTATTCTTTGCCAGGAAGCACAGGCTTTAGTTAAAGTTGATTTATTCTTCTACCTTTACTCTGCTTCTGTAGATCATTTTCTTGTGTTCTGTGCTCCTGATAGGGAAACTGCTTGTTTGAACCTAAAAGGCACAGGGGGACAATGAAAATAGGCCAGCATGGACCCTGCACATAGGCAATCATGCAAAGCCAGTCAGCACATTTAAAGAGGGGGTTTGGTCGATATTACTGTATATGGGTTAGGAAATTAGAGAACTGGAAATGTGTAAAATTAGACAGGGATTTGATTTTTGCCAGCATCCAATATTTAAATAAGGAATGTTTCTTTTAGATTCAGCACCTGAGCTCAAGTGAGCTAGTACTTCACAAACTTACCCTTGTGTCCCCGTGAAGTCTAACAGAAACAGGTTTGTGACTCGAGGCAAGGTAAAGGAGACCACTTCTGAAACAGAAGGAGCAGGAGTTCACTCTTTTGCCCCTTCACACTTCCACTGAACAGAAGGTGCAGCTCAGTGCATTACACATCCCATTTGAGGTCATGGAATCTTCTATATTTCATCCAAAATGAGGAAATTGCACTGAAAAATGGCCTAGAAATATGGTAAAAGACATGTTGGAAGTCACCACTTTGATGATGTGGGAAAGATTACTGGTGGTGCTTTGAGCATGTAATTGGGAAAACTACATTTATTAGTACCTTTGTAAAGAGCCAGTAAATAGCAAGGTTTTCATCTGCATCCTAAAGCGTGTTTAGTACAAGCAGCTCCTAAATGTCAGATGTCCTAAACGTCCATATTCATGACTTCTTATAAAATTTACAGTGAAAACAGATGCATAAATACTGCCTATCTTTGCAATACTAGTTTTCTGGTTTTGCTTTTTAATTAAAGATCATAAACGATGTTTAGCTTGTCATAAATCCAATAAAAATTGCTAGTTCTGGTTTTCCTTAGAAAACATACTGTAACTGCAATTTGCAATTTTTATGTATTTCCATGACTACCGCCAAAGCAGTGCTAGGGCTCCTTAAAGATAAGTTGTTTCTGACAGCAGAAAATCCACCAAGGGAGGACTGAGCTCCAAATGTTCAGAAAACTCTTCATTAGAAAGAAAAATGCCGGATGCTTTCTCAAGAGCAGCATTTGAGTATTTACTGCTTGTGACATTAGATATTTATGATTTTTGAAAGATATGGTGGAAAATACTAGCTACTAGCCTGAGCAAGTTTCCATGTCAACTGAGATGCTTCCTGCTTTATATTTTGGTCACTTGCTCAACTTTAAATAGAGGATGGTTTCATAAATCACTGACTTAGGCTTGAAGCATGTTGGTAAAGCATTGAAAAACATGACATGCCAGGGAGACTGTTTTCTAGAGATACAAAACTGACAGAAGAAATGTTGAAAGAAACCGATTAATGAACTGAGAGTAGTATTTGGTACTGCATGTTCACAAGTTGCCCGTGAGCTGCTGGATCAGCAAAGAAAGGCTTACTCAAGGCACAGGGCAGCATATGGCCCCAGCTGTTCTGCAGCACACAGCCGTGCAAGTTCCTGGCCTTACAGCTCCAGCACTGATTTCTCTGAAAGCAGTGAATAAAAAAAAAGAGAAACCCATATGATCCTAAAACATTTAACTCTTTCTTGCCTTAACTCTCTGATTTATTTTAATTGCAAATGATCTAGTGTTAGGAGGAAAGAACCCACATCAGTAAGTGTTCTAGCATTAGATAAGGTGTTGGGATTTTGCCAAGGCAGAACGGAAGTAAAGCAAAGGAATAACTATTTAAAAATTGCTTATGAACACTACAAATGTAAATAACAGTGAACTAGACTCAGAGTGGAAAAAACACTCATCATTATTTAAAAAAATAGGAATTGGAAGGGCTATTGATTTGCTGTGAAATCTATAAATTTAATGCTTAGCAGTGGTGATATTTCATTTATCTGGTTTTCTTTTGCATCTTCTTTTAATACATTTATATCAGTGCAGCTAGTTTCAAGGCATTAAGTATTTTTGAGCCGAATATTATTACTAAGTTATTATCAGAAAAAGATATCTGAAATTTCCAAAGACACCTCTATAGTGAAATGACTACTGGCAATAAATATAATGAAAATAAAAAAAAATTCTAGCCTTACAAAATGCAGCTTTGCTTTGCAAATCTGGATGTATTTTTAAATTATGCTCAAATTTCATAGAAGAATTAGAATCATAGAATCATAGAATCTTAGAATCACCAAGGTTGGAAAAGACCTACGAGATCATCCCGTCCAACCATCCACCTATCACAATGGTTCTCACTAAACCATGTCCCTCAACACAACGTCCAACCGTTCCTTGAACACCTCCAGGGTTGGTGACTCCGCCACCTCCGTGGGCAGCCCATTCCAGTGCCTGACCACTCTTTCAGAAAAGTAGTATTTCCTAATGTCCAGCCTGAATCTCCCTTGGCGCAGCTTGAAGCCATTCCCTCTAGACCTATTGCCAGTTACATGAGAGAAGAGGCCGACCCCCAGCTCATTACAGCCTCCCTTCAGGTAGTTACAGAGAACAGTAAGGTCTCCCCTGAGCCTCCTCTTCTCCAGACTGAACAATCCCAGCTCCTTCAGCTGCTCCTCATAAGACGTGTGCTGCAGACCCCTCACCAGCTTTGTTACCCTTCTTTGAACCCGCCCCAGGGCCTCAACGTCTTTCTTGCTGTGAGGGGCACAAAACTGGACACAGTACTCGAGGTAAATAATATTAATTTATTAATAATTATTTATTAATAATATTATTGTGTATTTTATATAATGCATGAATATTATATTATATTCATATAATTGTTATATTAATATCAATACTATATGTCTTAATATTATATTATATGCATTAATATATTAATAATATATTTTAAATATTAATGTATTATTAAAATTAACAAGTTAAGCAGTATTTTTCTCCTCAATAATTGTTGTCAACAGCACCAGAGCATGGCATAGCTAAGGCTCAGTTGGCACTCACATATGAAATCTTCATGGTGTTTAATTTTATGAAATCATTACATTTGGATTGATTTTTTTCTGCAAATATTCCACCAAAATTGACTTTTAAACCATTTTGAGGGTTGCACATTTTAGCAGACCTTTTTTTTCTGATAGTTTTTGTCACTTTCACCTGTTATTTCTCAACAAGGAAAACAAAATAAGAACAATGACTCTGAGCTAGCACAGCTTTATACTGAAGTTTTTATGAGTACAGATTGAAGGATCAAGCGTAAAGATTTTTGCACAGGAACTCAAAACTGTTCCCTTGGCCAGAATTTTGTTATGGACTAAATCTTATGCAATCCACCTCCTGCCCCTTTGGCAAGACAGTTGATGATGAAAGTTGTGCATCCGCTTCTGCAGAAAGAAAGCTAACAAAGATCAGGAGCCCTCAGCTTGGAAAAGCTCGAGGACTGTGCTACAAGGAGTTGGTCACCATGATGAGTGGCATGGATGCAGCATGGAGTGATCACGTACTGGATCCTTCAAAACAGGAATGGGGCAGTGTCTAGAAAAATTAGCACAGAAATAATTCAAAATAATTGTACTTCCTCATACTTTGAGCTGGAATTCCTTGCCATTGGATTCTGCAGATGGTAGAAGTTGGCATGAGTTGAGATTTAATTGAAAATCTCTTGGGAGAAAATCAATTAAAGACAGCATCAATTGTCAACTTAATATCTTACTTTTCTCACTCCTTTTCTCCAGCAGCAATCCCACAGCAAAATTAGGTATAAACTTTACTTTCTCTCATTTACCTAAGCTGTGGATATTCAGCTTTTACATCAGGATACAGGAGTGCATTTTCTGTGCCTTTCCAATGGAAGGTCCTTACGGTAAGCACACTGTGAGGGCTGTTGCAGAACTGCATGGGGAATCGGATCCTCCTTTCTCTTTAGAAAACTTAAGATTAAGGAAGTCACGTTTGCTCCAGGAATCCAAACAAAACCTCCTCTGGACAGAATCCTACCCTGTGTTTGCTCAGCATCAGACAGAGCATAAAGGATTGCCACAAGAACCCATGAGAACACAAGCTGGCTGCAGAGAAGGGGCTTTGAACCACTAAGATGCTCCCTGGGGGAAACGGGCAGATTTAACAGACATAGGAGATGTATTTAACAAGTTAAAAATAAGGAAGTGTAAGTGATGACAGAATCAAAACCCATTGGGCAGCAAAGCAGAATTCATGTTATTAAGGACATGTATTTCAGTTGCATTGTAGAAACCATATATAGGAAATAACAGTTACATTTGACAGCTTTGTAAGCCTATGTAAATGTCACTCATTACCAGACATATTTTGAAGATAAACTTTGATTTCATTTCTTCAAAGTGCCTGAATACTTCTTGGGTGTTTTTCAGCATCCTTCTGTTCATACTCCCACCCTGCCCAGCACACCCTGGCACTCCACAGCTGGCTCAGACAGTGAATGCTGGGCAGTCCCCCAGCTTGGCAGCAGGCTATCTCTTAGAAAGCTGGCTTCACAGCTGTCCTGTCTCCTTATCCCACCTCCTTTCTGCTCCATCCCGTGA